TCTGTCAAGATTTGCATTGATTCTTTTTTCATAGCTGTGTAACTTGTTCCTTAAAGATTTTCTGTATTATCTGTCTCTAGTCTATTTGATATATTGTGTGTTTGTTCAATGCAGAGTACAATATTTATGAATAGGCTGCAGAAAGCAACTTAAACTTTTTTTTTGAGATGATAAATGATGAGTGTTTTGAGCTGAGGACATTATTTTCCTGGGTTTGGCCCAATCCTAGGATTTCAAATGGTGGCCATGAAAAATGTCAAAATGATCTGTTTAAGATCTTCTAATGCTGCCGAAGCTATTTGTAGTCTGTGTATTACCAGTTGAGTAGCTTCCAAGTCTATAACCTTGGCTTTGAAGCATGCTTCATAGCAGGTTGTCCTGAAATCAGGGATCTTGAAAGCTCTACTGCTAAGCTTGTACACTTGATTTTTCAATTTATTTTGGTATTTCGAAGTCCTGAAAGCCTTCAAAACCAAAAAGCTGAAGCTAGAACCAAGAAAGACAAGACTTTTGGGCTGTTATCTTCTGACTAGTTCACTTATTCAGTACATTGGTGGTGGTGTTTACTTTTATCTTTTGTAACAGTAAAGCATATGTTTAAATATAATCTTTACACTCACGAGTTACACTGATTTTTCTGGGAGAGGATGCTGTAGAATTATAATTCCGTAGATAAAATTTAATCACTTTTTAAAAAAGCAAACTTGTACTTTTCTTTAAAACACTGAACTTGGATTTAGATGACTACTAGATTATGCTAATTTTCCTCTCCAGAGACATTGCTAAATAATTTTGGCACTTTTATCTATTAAGTGGACTTCCACAGATTTAAATCTGCTGATGTATGCATTTTAGCATTGAGTTGTGCTTTGCTCAAAGTTTTAGCTAGATTGAAGTAAACTGATCAGACTGAGGTAAAACTGAACTGATCAAATTCATGTCCTCTGCTAAAATATTTGTTTTCAGTCCATTTTGAGATACTATGTGGTAAAACTACTTCAGCTATTTAATGCTGACAGTATCTTTTTCCTTACTTTAATCTCATTCCTAACTGTGCTATTTTGGATCATCGTTAAGAACTTGTAGCCTCTTTAGATAAATTTGTTTGAATATGGCAACTCTATCCTTCCACCTTCTAAACTGTTCTTCTTGGCTCGCAGAGGTTCCAACCCTTGGCAGCTAAACTTGATGTTAAGTACTAGGTTATGGGGATAATGACTATAAGTAAAGATATTATTCTACCCCTTTCAGTGTCAGGTGTAAACTTGCAGCTTGTCCTTTTATGCTAAGCCTTCTTTCTGCATGAACTTTGCTGTTTATTACATGGGAGATCTGTTTTGTAGCATTTATTTCTAATGGTTTTCTTAGCTTAAATCTATTGCTGGTCATGCTGTGGATGAATTGTTTGGTACATATAAATGTGTATATTTACATAATATATAAAACTAAGAAATGACTGTTCAAGAGTGTATAAATGATTTGACATTGTCTGGTCTCTTTGTGGCTTCCACAAGGCCTCTCGGGAGCAATGCACTCTCACATATTTCCTCAGGCTCATTTTGGTAGGTGGCCACATTTGGTATCAAGTTTCTTGTGGCTAATTGTTCTTGCTTGTAAAAGCTTATTGATAGCTATCTGGTTCTCTGCATGTAGAATTTCGGAAGACTTTGTTTTTCAAAGTGGAATGGGTGTGGGTATTTGGCAGCTGGGCAGAGGGAGAGAAGAGCATACATAGACAACCTATTAAGCAACTAAAACAAAACCATTATTGATACCTTCCATGGTCACAATATAACACTAACAAGTTGAGTGACTCTTGAAGTTTCTACCAACAGTAGCTTGATGCCTTTTGGGATATCCCAAGTCACTGCTTATTTTGTTGTGCCTTTGTTTGCTGTTTTAGCAAGTTTGCCTGTTGAATAGCTTCTCCGCTAACTCTAACTTGAGACCAATAGTAGTACATTAGTTTTGTGCATACTTTGTCAGCAGTTTTTGTATGTATAATGTCTTGCCCTCGAATATTTTTGGGGTAAACTTTTCAACTGATAATGAAGCTATATTCATTACATACATTAATTTGTTTTATACAGTTAGGCTTGCATAAAATCTAACATAACATTTCAAAGGAAAAGTCCTGTCTAATGTGTTACTAGAATAAAATGCCTGATGTCTGTATTTGTATGAAAAAAAAACTTCTATACACTTCTCCTTTCAAGCATAGCTCCCAAAAGACTGAATAATGGTTTTGTTACTACATTTTTGCACTTGATGTGCTCCTGTTTGTTTGTTGAAGGCATGTGGAATTGCATATGAGCTGTGTGTTCTTTACCTGAAATGTTCAGCAGAGAATCAGATGAGAGGTTTGGGGGTTTTTTGTTTTATGTCTTACCTCAACAGTAAGAGCATTTGCAATAGGATCTTTGTGTGCAAATAATGTGCATGGTGAGAATTTCCTTTAAAGTGACATTAAAGATGGGATGAAGAGAGAGGGGATGCATGTATCCCTTATGATTTGACTTGACTTGTGACTTCCTGTAATGCAGCTTGAAGTAGGAAGATCTTTTCATGCTTTTCTCAGAAGGAGAAAAACAGAGATGCTTATGCTGCCTGAAAGTGCTTGCTTCTGCTGTGTACAAACTTTTACCAGAAAAACTCTGGGGGAAGTAGATGATGTAGAGAATGTAAAAAAAATGATCTTTTCAGAAAGTATATCTGAATGTGCTGGATGTATATACATTTTAAATGATTCCATTCATTTTAAAGTGCAGAAGTAAATAATGCACCTAGTTGGTGGTGGTCCAGGCTAACAAATCAGTTCAGTGGCTGTAGAAGTTGAACCTAACTCTTGTATGGTCACTGAGGCATTATGAGACTTTTCTTAATGTGCCATTATAGTAATTGTCATGGAAAATGTGATTTCTTACAAATAATTGAATGTTGTTTTTTGCCTACCAGCAGCAACATTTGGTACTGCATCCATGAGCATGCCTGCAGGATTTGGAACTCCTGCCTCCTACAGTCTTCCTACTAGTTTTAGTGGCAACTTCCAGCAGCCCACGTTTCCAACCCAGGCAGCTTTTCCTCAACAGACTGCTTTTCCTCAGCAGCCAAATGGTAGGTCTATACATTTTAGATAATCTTGTTTAAATCAGAAACATGGAGAAAAATGATTTTTCTGTAAGTTAGCAATAACAGCTGCATATTTATTTCTATGTGGACTTGATGATAATACTGATGAGGGGTTCTCACACTCGTGTTTTGGCTCTGTAGTTGAGCTTTCTGACTTGCATGCAAGTGTGCAATAACATAACTGAAATTTTACCATAATCTGATACTAAAATTGTAAGTATTCCCAGGCTTAAAGGGTTTTTATGCAAGAAAGGTTGTTTTGTCTTCATTTTTGGAGTGTCTGCAACTGATTATAATACTTTCTCTAACTTCATAGAGCACAAGCAAGAGAAAATTGGAAAGTACTTTCTCCTTAAATTTAAATGATAAAATAACGTTGAAAAAAATGTATATATGGAAATTGGAAGCTAATTAGTTCTAAACAGTTGAAAACAAACAAAAAGCCCAGCCATATTTTTTTTTTTTACACTTACTTTCCTGCTTGTATTTAAGTCAGGTTAATGCTGCTGATTGTGCAGTCCAAGCTTCCACTTATTTTTGTGTGGTAACTGCAGCAAAGAACTCTCTGAAGATTGATTACTAGTATTAATATTTTTCATTTATCTTTCCAAGGAGCAAGTTTTGCTGCATTTGGACAGGCAAAGCCTGTAGTAACTCCTTTTGGACAAGTTGCAGCTGTTGGAGTATCTAGTAACCCTTTTATGGTGAGTTGTTGCATTATATTAATAACTTCTGTATATCTGAAGAGACGTAATTTCTAACACATTAGAGACATGCAAAGATTTTTTTTTTTTTTTTTATTCAAATAAGGCAGCATGTGAGTCTCCTAAATGCAGTTCAGTATTATGATGACATGGCATTTGTAGGGCTGTTTGAATCAAAACAGTGGTACTTGTATACCATGCTCTTATAGTAGTGTAATTTCAGCAACTGCAACATGTGGGAAATATTTCCTAATAGGTTGTTTTCTTTTTTATATATCCTGCATCTGTGATTTAAAATATAGAAAAAAAATCTTAAGTATTTGTCTTATTTTTCTTCTTTCTTTTTCCCCCAGGCTGGTGCACCAACAGGACAATTTCCAACAGGAAGCTCATCAACCAATCCTTTCTTATAGCCTTATAGACACTTTACCCAAAAGAACTCTTATGTGGTCACATAACATCTCTGCGCCTCTTGCACTGTTGTCTTGTTTCACTGATATTAGCTTTAAACACAAAAGAAGTCTTTAAGAAGTAAAAATAAAAGCCTGCATTGTGTACCTTTAAAAAAACTTTAAAAAAATAAAATAAAATACACAAAACCCGAGAAAATCAACCCCCCACCAGGTAATAACGTGCAAAACAGAGGGCTGTGGTAACATCCTTGAACCTGTGAACTGGCAGGTAAAAAGTAGCGGTATCATGTATATTAAAATTGGCTAATAAGTTATTGCAGATACCACATTCATTATGCTGCAGTACTGTACATATTTTTCTTAGAAAATAGCTATTTGTGCATATCAGTATTTGTAACTTTAACACATGGTTATGTGAAAAATGTTACTGGGAAATAGATCAGCCACTTTAAGGTGCTGTTGTATCTCTTGAAATGAATGAGCTACATCATTTTAACTATTGGTATTGGAAGTCATGGAGTTAAATTGAAGGTTTGTTCATTTCTCAAAATGTTTTCCTTTCCTAAGAGCTCTTCTATTTATACATGCCTAAATCTCTAATGTTAGAGGGATACCTGTCTGCATAATAAAGCTGATCATGTTTTGCTACAGTTTGCAGGTGAAAAAAATAAATATTAGAAAAAACAATGGTGTAGCATTATTTCTGTGCAGTAACATTTTATTGGGTTAAAATGCACATATTGAGTCTCATACACAGTTGAATTATCAAAAGCAATACGCTTGAAGGTGAGTTAAGCTTAAAATTTTTTCATATCTCACTTTGATATGTTTCTTTATGTCCTGGTGATTAAGCTTGCTGTTCTAGCTCAAGTGAGGTGACCTATCAACCAGGAAAAAGTTAAGTGAACTTGGGTTATTATGACAGAGTAACTGTGTAATGAAGGACACTGGAAGAATTGAAGAGAGTAGTTATGTGGTAAATAGTTACCTGCAAGAGACACACAGTAATGGGTAGCTAATGACAGTCTTTGAACAAGACTTAATTGTGATCAGAACAGTATGTGTTAGTAGCAAGCCAAGGTACCACAGATGTAGTAGCGCTCTTTTAATAAAAATCTATATATCTTAGTAAGAGCTCCTGTGGCATATTAAATTAATCAATTATTTCTTTATTTACTGGAATGTTTTTTGCCACACTAGAATGGAATTTGTAGAGGGGGGGAAAAAGTCTGGCTTGTCTGTAATAGTAAGAAGGTTCAAGAAAAAGTATAATTCTGCATGAGAGTAGTTGATGGTGGTGTTTTAAACAGAGATAACTTGGCTTAAGTTCAGGTGTAATACTGGAACTAAGCAAATAATGTAAATATATAATGAATACATAAACTGCAAGGTTAAAAAAAGGTTTCTGACCAGGTGGAGAATAAGATTCTAGCAGCTTTCAAGATAACAGGAATAAGTAAGATCAGATTGATTTTTGAGAAAAGGATGTGGAAGCCCATTTGAGACAAATGTGAAAATTTATTCCATAAAATTGTGTCAAAAAACCCCCATTTCACTTGTAATTGACTGAATGTTAGAGCTGCGTATGTCTAGGGGAGCTGAAAGACTTGACCACTGCTTGTAAAAACTCTTATGCCAGTGCTTTTGAATTCTGTTGCCTGCCTGAGGTGGTAGTAATTTCTGTATGTATTTTTTTTAAGCTTTGGAGATCGCAAAGCAAGGGACAGGCAGCTTATGCTAGCAGTCCTTACTTAAATGTCTGGGTTTGTCCTGTTGGCATATTTAAAGTTAAAACAGACTTGAAGTCTATCTTTTCCTTCTGATGAGGACTGCTGGATAGTGTGTGGTGCATGGTTTAATTCCCAAGATTCTCAGGGAAATTCACTAAAAAAAATCCCCAATGATTGAGAGTTTCAAGGATGTTGGTGATGCCCTTGCTCTAACCACTGCTTTTTAGCATAGTATAAATAGCTGTAATTTTTCCCTGTTGTTGACTGTACTAATTTTGGGATAGTGACACAAATGCAGTGGGGAGTAGGGAACTGCAAGGGTTCAGAAAGACTTGTGGAACGCTTAAATATGCTTATTGCAGGGAACTTGACCAAATAAACCAAATGTCTCATCAATGAGATAAACAACTTTATTGAAGGGGAACAATCCTGTGTTCTCTTCACCTAAATTGATTTAAATTAAGCTTAGGGCAAGGGCTAATGAGATTGGCATCTATTGAAATTGTTGTTCTGATCCAAATGAAGCTGATAACTGCTAAGAGATACTGAAATTCATTTAAGTATGCAAGGCACTTAGTTTTAGATTATGCTGCAGAAATAGTGAATACCTTATTTTTCATAACTTTTACAATATACAACCATGTCTGTTTAGTGTATGTTCACTAATTTTAAGTTTGCCAAACTCCAGACAAGTAGCTGAAGATCTTATATGGTTTTGAGTCTCCTTTATATTGAGCAGGAACTGACACCAAAGCTGTTTACGTTAATTAGATTTTTAAAAGGCTATATCTACAAAGATTAATTCTTCACCCATGATTATAAATGTTTTTGTCTTAGAAACCTCTGCGGTTGTTCACGCAATTGATCACACAGCTGGCATAGTTGCCAAAAAGCTATACTTCCACTCGCTTTTTGGTATCCTGTTCTGCTTTAGCATCAAAGCACTTCACTTTTGATAACTTTAGCTGTTCTATATAGAAATTAATTTGGAAATCTTCTAGATTAATACTTTTATTCCTAATAGGTCAGATCTTATGCGTGCAAGAAGATGCTGTAAGAGGTACATCCTGAGTTCCACAAGGCCGATGTGATGCCCAGGCACTGCAGTTCAAAGATACTTAATGGTTGCAAACTCCCAAACACAGTGTTGGAACAAATGCTAAGTCAAGAAATTAATTTGAAAATGATCAAATTCAGTTGGAATTCCTGAAAGAGAACTAGAGATATGATGCAAGTATTCTGCTCTCTTAAAGAGAAAACTCACTGGGGCATAAAGGCAAGCTCAAGTAGCTGTTAAAAGTACGTTTTTAAAGGAATGACTGATTTTTTTACTTTCTTGTGAGCTGAACTGGGGGAAACATCAGTTACTCCTGACTTGTGGCAAATCTGCAAGTTGTGGTAAAGGAACACCGTGGAATTAGCTGCTGTCTGATATAGCTTACTCCAAAGCAGACGTTACTGACTACAGTTGATTCCCTAATTAGCTTTAGTTATATCTAAACTTTTGGTTGTGTTATTTAAGACTGCCTTGTATAGAAATTGAAGGGTGTCCCCGTGGCTTAAAAATAAGTTATTTTAGGCGCTTTTTTGTTTCCAAAGATAAGTGTGTGTGGGGCATGGCAGCTGTAATGCATATGCTTCTTGAGACAGACTCTCAAAGAGAAGATTAGTGTGTTGTATGCATATACCTTCAACAAACTCACCGTAAAGCCGTCGCTGCACCAGTAGCAGTTTTATCTGTATATAAGGACATGCTTTCCTTGTAGTCCTGTAATTTCAGATTTGAGGAGTGCATTGTCTGTGTGGAATTTGAAATGACTGCATTTGGCCATTTGTAAACTGAAGTGGCAGTATTGCTATGCTATATAGCATCGTAGCAATCCACCTCTGAACATACAGAAGTAGCACCTTTTGGGAAAAAAAAATGGTTTATTACTAGTTAACTTGCTTTAAAAATGTATGTCACAACTTCCAGTTGAAAAAGTCTTATGTTTTCAAAAGGCTTCTGTGGCAAGCTTTCCACAAATCATCTTGCTGCTATGGGGCAACCTCTCTTTTTAGATTCCCTAGGAATGTTTGAAGGTCTTAACACCTATGACTAAATTGTCTTTTAATTTAAATGTTCAGTAGAAATGAAAGTTCAAACGTTGTGTTCTGTAAGCTCTTCTTTTGTGAGGTTCAGGCATCTATGTACTTGCTTGTTGTGCTCCTTGAGGATTAATAGAAGTTTTGGTGTCAGATCACTAAATTTGAGTTGAAATAGATTGTTTGAAGATTGTTTGGTATTAAACTAGTGATGGAGAAAATGGGCAAAATGTATCATCCTGTTGACAGAGCTCTTTATGCTGTAGGCTCATAAATGACCTGTTTCACCATTGACCGGTCTTGCTTGATTGAGCATTATGTCTCCCCCAATTCATTGTTCAAATGATGCAACTTTCTGCACTGCTGCTTGCAGCCATTGTTTTTGTCTCCCTTGTTAGTGATCAGTGCTTTCGCCAGCCACCCCGGTGTTTGTGCATTTGATGGAAATAATGGTGTATATGCTTCTGATCAGGAAAATTCCAGCTATGAATGTGAAGTAGCTGCCATAAATGAGAAACTGGAAAATGGAGGTGGGGAAGAAGGAGGAGGAAGAGTCAAAAACTTCTTTTGCTATTAGGCAGTAACTTAAGGAGTGTCTCTCCACTGCTGCCTTCCCTGTCACCCATGCCCTAGAATGGTCCCACCTCAAAAGGATTCGAGTAGTCTCACTGCTTGACTTCATACTGTAGGAATTCTGGTTGTAAAATGTGTGTGGGGGGAGAATACTCTGTTACATGCTTCCCTTCCCCACCCCAGTAAGGAAGGAGGACAGCTGCCCTGCACTTTCTGGCTCTTCTCTGTTAAGATGAAAGCTAGAGACTTGGACCTCATTCAGTTTGTAAGTTTAAATTTAGAAATTTAATGGGGAATCACAAGATTAGTTAGTTTTCAGAATTAGAGTAGTTTAAAGGTGCATCCAATGAAACTGTAATTCAGAATTACCCTGGTAATAGACCTGTAGATTGCCTTTGGTCTTGCTTTCTGCTTCTGTTTATGGTATTTTGACAATAAACTTGTGAATTATAAGCCTTTAAATAAACTAAAAAAAAAAAAAAACCACAAACAAAAAATAAAACAACAAAACAAAACAAACAAACAAACAAACAAAAAAAAAAAAAACAAACAAAAAACCCAAACCACAGAAACTAGCCCTGAGTAGTAGGTGGTGATATTTCCCTTCTGCCTCATGAAAATATTCTTCAAATTATTGCAGAAATGCAAAACTGGCAGGACTAGAGGACAAGTAGGTTGTAGTAGTTACTGCCATTTCACTTTAAATGAACCTGTTTTTCAAGTGAGTAACTGTCTGAAGCTAGAACATTACCTGGTATCTTCCCAAAGGCTAATCTTGGAGTAGAACCTTCTTGGAGTAGAGTAGGGGAACGGAGAGCAGTGTGAGTAATGTAGCTTACCTGGATGCTGATATCCAAGCCCAGACCTTTTGAATCTACAACAACAATAGTTAAAATTGTCTGAATCACCAGTGCCACAAAGTTGTTGAAGCCAAACATCAAAGCATAACGCTCCATGCTTAGATTGACAGCAATCTGAAACCTGAAAAGTAATGTACAGGTTAACTAAACTATGGAGAACAAGGATGTTTGCAATTTACTTATGGGGGGAAGTTTGGGAGCAATTTAATGTGCACAGTGGATTCTTCAAATTATAAAGCCTCTTCAATCTTGGCTATTAAGCTTTAGCAGCTTCATTTTGGCAGAAATGCCTTGTTTTTCTGGCTTTGGCACTATTGTGCATCCTACTTATGTCTTATTTGAGTGGATATTTTTGATAAAGATCTTGTTCACTGATCATTAAGAAAATACTTGTACATGGATCATTGAACAACTAAAGGCAGAATAAGGTAGTTTCTCATTTGGAGCAACATTGTAATGGCTAGGTCATATAACTAAGCATAGCTGTGTATGTTAGGCCATGACAGCAGCACATATTTCTATTTAAAAATCTTATTTCTAGAGGAGCTTTCAGTAAAATCTTGACAAATTTAAAAATGTGATACTTAATGATTTAAATTAATTAGAACAGTTGTATATTATACTTACGTTGCTATTGTTATCAGGAGCATATAGCATGCTTTAAATGCAAGGTAACCAGCATAACATGCCCAGATGTTGTCAGTAAAGTGCATAAGAAACAGAGAACCAGCATCCATTGCAGAGAAAATTCCCAAAGCCAGTTCTCCAGAAAGATCCCAGTTTACTTTGACATATCCAACTGCCATGGATGTTGCTGAACCTAAAAATTTGAAAGTAATAATTAAAACTCTGAAACATTATCATCCTTCTAGAGCCATTGCATAAGTCTGTAAATGGATCATGCCAGGAGCTCTTGAGACTGTTATAGGCACAGTGGGCTTTGATAGTGGTGTGGCTTATATTTTCTATTAGTGGTGAGGGAGTCTTCTGTCTCGTGTGGTTTTTAGTTGTTTTTTTTTGTGTGTATGGTGGTGTTTTTGTTTTTTTTTTTTTTTTTTTCCCTTGCTTACAGAGCCCTTACAGACAAGTACTCTGAGAAAGTGCCTCATGCCTAAGGCTGGAGGCAGCAGTGTACAGTTTATTGCTGTTACTCCATTTTTTTGATAACTGTGAGCAAAGAGAACAAACCCACCAAGCATTTTCTGCCAAAATATGCATAATGGAGTTCTTCATTTAAATATCTTTATGAAATGAAAATGTGTTGCACTCCCTCATGTTATCTTTTTCATGAAAGTGTCTTTTCAGTTTCTGGTGAAAAAAATCTTATGAACTGCATTTGTCAAGGCCTTATTGACTGTCACATATAGTAAAAACCCTTACCTGAGTGTAATATGGTTACAATAAATTCCAGTGCCTTGATATTTTTTTTTTCCTTTTAAATCAAGGCAATAATGACAAGGTTTACTTTTCTCTCCCTCTCAATGGGGAGAGGTAACAGTCTTACAGCAGTAGAAGGTATCTAGCCATGGGGGGTTTTTATATCCCTTTAGCACAGAGGCTGCTGTAGGCTTATGAAACATCTTTGAAACACAATATGCTGAGGTTGGTAGCTCAAACGCAAAGAGAAGTCTGGTCCAGGCAGCTTATACAGCAGTGAGCTATTGGAGTCCAGATAGTACCAGTTGCCCAGATGTTTTCAGGCAGCATAGCATGGTACTGCAAAATTGGACTACATTTGCTGGTTGTATGTACTCTTCATCAGAATTCAAAAAGTCGTAGCAGGCCTACTCCTTTGGTCCACCACTGCTACAACCAGAGGTTCTTAGTACTGTGAGTGCTTTCTGTACTCTGAAATAGTATCAAGTGCCAGAGGGTGTAAGAGCAAGAAAGCCCTTGGGAATACCACTCAAACCAATAGCCTTGAGTTTTGGAGTAACTTCAGTAAAAAGCATTTTCATGATGCCTGCAGGAAGAATAAACTGACAGTTCCTTGTAGAAATGTGCGATCTGACTTCTGACATGAAGGAGGAGACATAGCTGTGCAACTGTGAGCTTGGAAATGAGGCTCCGTTGGTACTGCACACCTATTTGAGCAAAGTTGCACTTTACCCATATGCCTTCTGTTCTGAGGCCAAAGACAAATGTCATGGGGATGGGCCAAGTAACTGTAATGTGAATCAGAATGGCTGAGGTTGGAAGAGGCCTCTGGTGATTGCCTAGCCATGCTTGAAAGCAGGGTCAGCTAGAACAAGTTGATCAGGATATTGTCTAGGTTTTGAACATCTTCAAGAATGGGGAGTCCATACCTCTGGCCAACCTGTTCCAGTGTTAAATCACCCTGCAATAAAAGTGTTTATGTATGTTTAAGTGGAACTTTTAGATTTCTGCCCCTTGTCTCTTGTCCTGTCACTGGGCACCACTGGGAAGAGTCTGGCTGTCTTCCTTACTCCTTCCATTCAAGTCTTTATGTGTATTAACAAGATGCTTTGTTTTCTCAAGGCTAAACAATTAGAGCTTGCCCAGCCTGGCCTTGCATGTCACATCAGGAGGTAAACTCATTGGTCATGATACAGATGCATTCAACGAATATCGTTCAGGAGCACTCATCCTGAAATGATATTTAATCCACTGTCTAAACAGACCAGCTAGAGCAGTGTATCTGTTAATATGCTCTTTTAATTCCTAAACCTCCTAAATCCAGGTGTATTTGAGGGAGGAATAGGCAAGGTGTCATCACCCAGGGTTTTTGAACTGTTAACATGGGGCTAAATTCATGGTCTAAACAGAGCTTAAACTCCTAAAATACTTTGGTGGAATGAGGCTCCTCAAATAAATAAGAGCTTATAGCTATATATATATTTGTAAGACTCTACTGGTAAAATTGTACAGTAAAAAAATGCTTTGCTCACTGGGTGGTATATATTGGAGGCTGTTGCTGTTGATCTTGGTCCTCATAGGAGATCAGGAATGGTTTTGGTGCCTTTTTGTTTAAGAATGCCATCAGCACAGGGTGGGTTAGAAATAGTTGTTAATGATCTTTCACTTACCTAAAAAAGTTGCTATGGCTTCAACAGCTCCATTGTACACTGCAGAGCTGTGGGAGGGGGCTCTGAAGTCCCACAGCACTTGGACATAATTCAGAACCTGGTTAAAGCCTGCCGTAGCCAGAGCCCACCACAGGGACCAGTACAGAAGTTTCCTAGAGCTGTAGCAATCCCTCAGGTCCTTGCTCAGCTGCACCAGGACTCTCAGCATGTGATTCTGGGCCTTGGGACTATCAGCCTGCTGCTCGGGTGGCGGTGCCCTGTCAGCACATACAGAGCTCTTGTCCTCTCGGCAGCTCGGTGGCCTGTCAGAGCTGACCCTAGCCACAACTTTATCGGGTCCCGGGAGAGATTCTGAGCCGTCTTTCCTGTGGAAGAACATACTCTTCTGGGGCATTGGGAGGAAAAAGGAGCACACGAATGCCAGGGACACGGAAGCCAAAGTGATGGCGTTAAGGTGAAAGTAGGATACGCCTGCTAAGGAAACCAGCAGCTGCCCCAGCACCGCCGCAACGGTGGCTGCAACAAGAGTGATACTTCTGCAATAGCTCGTCACTCTCTGATAGCGATCGGTGCTGACAACGCTGTAGATGTAGGCGTAATAGGCGACCTCGGTGGCTGTCACCATCCCGTAGAAGAATTCCACCACCTGCATGGCCACCACTCCGTGTGCAAAGAGGAGCAAGAGCCACGTGATGATGAAGCTGATGCCCTGGAGGAGGAGGACGGGCTTGTAGCGCACGTAGTCTGTAATCAGGAAGACTGGGAAAAGGAGCGCGAGGTAGGAGTATGTCCAGACCGGGAAAATCTGGTTGGTAACCTAGAAGAGAAGAAATATTTAAAAAAACCCCAAAACATTCTAAATGTTGTTTCTGAAGCTGGTATTTTAGGAACATAGTTGCGGTGACAGGAAACTGAATTGTGTGAATTGTGCAGACTTAAACCACCTTAAATTACAAAACTTTAAATGTACTCCTTAAGTCACAAAGATAATGATGCTAGGCTCCACTACATAAACAGATAGATTGGCTTAAATAATTCTAGTGAAGGCCTATCAAGAAGGCAGATTTTGACGTGCAGCTGTGTAAAGCAGTTATAAATGTGTTTTTGTCAGAGGAAAGTGTGTCTAGCACTAAATCCTACTCCCCAGAGTAGATGAAAATGAATGCCTATTTAATTTTAACTTTTACATGATTCATTGTATGCCTTTGGTCAGCTCTTTCAGTTGTTAGAACTGGGAAAAAAAATGCATATGCCTCGTGATGGGGGAAACGGAACTGCACATAGTGACTGTGTAGCTGTTACTATGTTATCTTCCCTTTGTGGTTAAAAAAAAAATAAAAAAGGGAAAACAAACAAACAAAAAAACTAACCCAAACTACAAATACTCTTTTTCAGAAGAAACCTTAGGTTCACATTATGCTAGCAGGTTCTGCCTTAATATTTGCTACTGCACATCAGGAATGACTGTTTTTCATATTAGCTGCATGTGGGTGTACTAAGCTTGTGTTTTCTAATTATACCATTAGATCCATGATTCATCCATTTGCTGACTATGTCCCCGTTGGTTGGGAAGTGTACTTCTGAAGCACGCAGTGTTGAACAGAGGAGCAGAGCAAGAAAACTTGCAGTGCATGCTTTTGTCAAAAACAACCCCTTTTTCTGATTGTGAATCTGACCTCTACAGTTTAGTGAATGCATAAAACAGCCTTGTAACATAGCTAACAACCTAACAGCTCATAATAGGAAGTCTGGTTTTCTATAGTCTTGTACTCACTGTGTCACTGTCAGCGTAATCAATTTCACAGTAAGTATAACTAAATCTTAGTGTTGCCCCTCCTCTGGGGTTCTAGGTGAAGAGAGGGACTAACTGACCTTATTTTGCTTAAAATATCAGTTTCTTAAACAACCACCAAAGTGGTTTCGAAGTCCTAAGAATGTAGGGACTTCAAAGTTTTGACCTGCAAAAGAGGTGACTCCTAACTCTTCCAGAAGCATCTTAAATATGAGTCTCTAGATACAATATACCTGTATTATTAAACACTTAATCTCCCCCTCAGCTATTGCTGTAAGACTTGATGCTTTAAGAATTGTAATTATTATTCAAGAGAATAGTTACATACCTCTTCAATTGTTAGGTTTTTGTCTGGTCCAGTTAGATAAGGAGTGAGAAAGGATTCTGATGGCCTCATTGTGGAAAGAAATCCATTTGCACAGATGATCAGTGTGGGATAAATCCAGCTCTGGCCTATAGTTCCCTTCCAGCAATCCATAGTCTACCTAAAAAGAAAAGGTAGTAAAGAAATGAGCATACCAAGTACTTTATAAAGATGGTCTTCACAGTTGGTAAAAATTCATTTGCAATTTTACTTTTTAACTCACTCCACCTAATGTTTCTCCCCCTAATCTTGCTAGTGATCACATGCAGCTTGTAAATGAACAACTTGGATCAAGGTGCACTGGTGGTGGTAAACTCCCATCTCTGTACCATCTATCAAAGGTTGCTCTTAATGATGTACTTAGCATCGAGTGGCTGTATCGTAGCGGAAGAATGAAGTTCCATTACAGTCTAATTTCTGAATAAATGAGTGGGCAAACTGAGATCAAAGCTCATTCTCAGCATGTTCAAGGAGGCATTTTTTCTGTTGAGCTACAGCTTGAGTGTCAAGTGGAGCAATAGAAGTGCAAGCCTTTTTGCAAACAATAAGAGCCACCAGCCAGCTCGCAACCCATTATGAGCTTGTTTTTTTCAAAATGCTTTAATACTCATCATATTTCTTGCACTCCAGTCGCTGTAAAGAGATTTGGGGTTTTTAAGCTTATTTTACTTGTTTTGTGTTAGAAAGTCAATTCCACTGTTCCTGGAAAACAAGAGAAACAAGGATGTTTTGAAACTTAAGAGAACGAAAGCAAAACACTGACTGATGTTTAATCAATCCGTTACAAGCTATTTCTCTTAAATTGTTAAGTTCCATTTCATAGCAGGCACTATTTTGGAAAGTGCTTCTTATTGTACTGTGACGCTGTATCTATTAAAACTTAGCATAAGCAGTATGTTATTAAGGCAGTATTTCTGTGACCTCAGAGGAAACTTACAAAAACCAGACTTAACACTGAAACTTGATTTTAAATGGTTGCCTCCAATTATCTTTTACAAATCATTGTATATACCATATAGCCTATATTATCCTTAACTCTAGATCTGCTTTGAAATCTTTCGATATCTGCTATCTTTTCAAAATAAAAAGATATTAAACCCTGGACTGATCAGTAACATCAGCATAAACCTTGCATCACTTCCAAATGCACTGAGCAAGTGAGTGGCCAGCACGTTTCCAAGTAACTTTGAAGGTAATGAATTACCTGTCAAAACTGTGGCTGTGGTGCATTTTCTGTGGATTCATGTACAGTTTCCTCCTAGGATGACTTTCTCTCTTGTCAAAGAGAAGTCAGAAAACCACCCTTTAGGACTGGAGGTACTAAGACATTTCTTTGTATTTTTGTTTCCTGAAAGTTCTTTCTAAACTTGATAAAATGTTAACAGAATTTAAATAATAGTAATAATAGTAATTCATGAGAGCTCTTCTTGCTTGCTGAACTTGTCCATAACTATCACAAGGGAAGCTTTCTTCTTTACAGGTTTTTTCAGCAAACTGATTTCTAATTTTAAGATAAAACTTTAAGACTCACAGTAGCTAATGATTAATAAAAACTAACCTGGCAAGAAAGCAATCACTTGATTGCATTTTTGTGTTAATAAATACCTTTAAAAGCTCTGGTCTCTGATTCATGGATAAGACACACCACCCCTTTTGCAGTTTGGGCTGATGCTGATCCTCCCCTGTGCATAGTGCAGTGGCCTCTGGGCTAATGGGGTCTCTTCTGACTGTCCTGGCTTTGCTGGGGGTACGGGAAGGTAGGACATATAATACCTCATACTATTAGTTGACCAGGAATTACTTCTATATAAAGACCAATCTGCCACTTAAGGGCAAATGGCCAAGAAGGTAAGAAGCTTCTAAATCTAGCTTCTAAGCTAAAAAAGATCAAAACGGAACTGCTTAAGAGGAATGCTGCTGCTTTGTCTTTGTTTACCCATATTTTTTTAGACTGGACTCCTTACATCTTCCAAGGTTCTTCAGAGGACAGAGTCAACCCCGAAGCCTCTTGGCAGGGTGTGTGTTGACACTGGGAGCAAATGGTGTGGCCCTGGCGGGATGGGCCCCATGTGCTACCCAGAGCGGCTCTGGGAGCTGGACACAGCCTGGTCTTATTCTACTGGTATGAAAACTTCTCATGCCGCTTCGAGCGTGTAGTGAGACCAGGCAGGCATGTATTCAGAGAAGCTGGGCTTGCCTCTGCACTTCATTCTCTTTCTTTACCCACAGCTTCTGAGAAAGGAAAAGAACCGTGGGGAAGATGCTGCTGGCTAGGTCTACTGGCCTGCTGAAAGGTGGCTGCTGAGTGGCATTTCTCTGGTAACCCACATGGTGCTTGGTTAATACCTGCTTGCTTTGAAAACAAAGATATAATTTGTTTGCTGCCTTGTTGGCCAGAACTGGCCTTATCAGCTTGTTTGACTGTATCTTAATGGAAGACTTGTGCCCAAATCCACTAATGTTTCAAAAGTAGTCAGTGTTGTATTGGGAGGTCATTGTAGCTATGGGGAGCAATGTGCTCAGCTCTGGATTTTCATATTTACATGGAATCCTTTAGCATGCTGGGAGATAGACAGGAACTTAATACTAAAAGCTGCAAGGAGAGGTGGATTTGTTCAGTTTCCTTTTCCTGCAGAACTAGAGCCTGTGCTTCCAGCCTTGCTCATAACCTGCCAAGCCTCAACTATCTCCTTTCCAAAGAGTGTGTGTGTATGTACACGAACACACAGGTAGATGTGTGCATCTTACTGTTTTGGATGAAATCTCTGATTGTTGGCTTGATACTGAATTGCAGCTGAAAACTGAAGGTAACATGACCTTACCTTTCTCTTGCTGTTGTTTCCACCTCCAATGCATCATGTCCTTCCTAAATCTCTTAAGAGCTGCCCTCTTCCTTCCCTATTCCTCTCTCCACCTCCCCCCTGCCCCCCAATGCTCCCCCCACTCTCAACCTCAGAATCTTTCCTTTGGAAATTTGAGCAAATGGAAATAGATTTTTTTTTTTTTATGTTTTATCTGTTTTCTGAAGATAATATTCTCTATATCTGCAAACCAAACTCATTGTGTTTGCTTGGTCCCATTGGTCCTTAGTGGCATCTCATATACACAGAAGGCAGTGAGCTCTGACCAGTTCAGAAAGGAAGAATTTTTATGGTTATTTCTACCAGTTTTTCTAGCTCCTTTCCTGCAGCTTACTACTGACATTATTTTGTTAATCATAGCAAAAAATTTCACATTGCTGATTTCTTTCCTTTTACCAGATGCTACATATTGAGAAATATTTGTTGATTTTCTGTACCAAAGGCAGTCTGAGACCATGGAGCTGGAAATACCAAGTTCCTCTTTTTCATTTCAACACAAACTCTAGTTAGCTTCTAGCCCAGGACTGGTACCTAGTTCGTTAACAAAATGCCTCAAAAGAAAAATCCTACTCACAAGGAAAAGTAAAATAAAACAGTGCCTGCTCTGTTGGACGTTGTCCCCACTTCTTCAGGCAGGAATATCATGCTCTCGGTTTTGCAGTAATAAAAGATACTTACTGCTAAGTGGAGACCAAGTACATCTCCTGCTTTTACAACTGCATTGGTTAAGCTGTTCTGCTTAGAGCCAGTTTACAATAGAGAGCATCCACACAATGCACAATAGTAAACAAAAAGCCTAGAAAATTAGCTGGGTTCATTTGGTCAAATCCTACATGATTTTGCATATGATTTGAAATAAATTTCTTCTCTTCTGCCTGCTCTCAGCTCTGGGAAATCTGCCTAGTTGCAGTATGCGACAATTGTATGAAAACCACATATGTCTGTGCAAACGATAGTTTATGTCTCTCTACAGCAAAAATATTATTCTGTAGATGCTAAGTATTTTCTATTTTTATTAGTTAGATGTAGATTTTGGGAGCTAGAAGCAAACAGCAGTACAGAAATAACTTTAACATATGTATATATTTTATATTAAATTAGGAATTTGCTATGCAAACTCATTTATAATATTTTTTTTCTTCTCCTGGACTAACTGTCCTTTGTGTTGGACTAAATTAGCCATAGGAATTAAAGTTTCTAGATAAATTCTGAGATGCGACCGTGCCGAATCCTTGGCCAATATCAGTGGACCTCCCTCATCTGTCACTCAAATGCACACCTGATGCTAGCATTTTGTTTCAGTTATAAATTTTTCTGGATATTTGTGTTAATCTGAATTTTTCCTGTGCAGAAGCAGCTAAATTTCTCCACAATGTACCTCTATGGCTTTGGTCTACACTACTCAATTTCTTTGATATTTTTTTCTTTTCCTCTTGAAACAGGAAGACACTCAAGTCCTGAATTTAATTTTACTGGAAGCATAAGGAAAGGAGTGGAATGCTTTTACTTTGTTTTGCCTGTGAAGTTTTTCCCTTCTGGGCTGAGATTGCTATGGACTCAGTACAGTGTTTAGGTTGCAGCTTTCAAATGTAGGCCAAGTAACAACTGTGTCTTAGCAGTGTTTTAGTGAACCTTCTCAGATAGGTTGTGCAAAGCCGGCTTTTCTGCACAGTTCTGTCCAAAAGGCCTGCTTCTGTGTGCTTTTAAATTAAAAGGGAGCAGTCTGTCACAGAGTTTCCTGTAGTTAGGTAGGAAAGAATATAATGATGCAAACACAGTCCCTTCTTCCTTGGTTCAGAACAAGGTATGTGCAAAGCGGGGGATAGACCCTTCACCCACGTGCATGAGCAAATGTGCATGGAAGCAGCTTGTCAACACCATGTACGAGAGCTAGAACAAGCAAGGCAGGGTGAACTCTGATCTTTGCCATTGTGCACACTGAGATGCCAAGATGGTTGCTCTGTTCTCATGTATAAAATACTTCTGTTAACCTATTTACAGGCAAATAAATAAGAATCTAAAGCAATTTATCTCTTCTTCTTGGCACAATGCCATTATAGTGATCTCTTAGCTGGCATATGTTGTAATGAAGTGCTGCAATGATTCAGCGTAGCTTTTCAGGGCTGTGTTGTACGTTCATCTTGCACTGCTGTTCCCTGCAGGCTGCAGCAGGAGCTCTTCTCCCACGTGGGCCTGGCCGCGTGAGTCTGCCTGCCTGCCTGACTCCTACAGCCGTGTCGTATAGCCAGTTACAATCTGCTCCTTTGATCCGTGTTCAGCATGGTTCAGATGCTCTTTGTAAGATCTTGATATTTTCCTTTTGCATTTGCTTGAGACAAGCATGCAAACGCTTCTGATCAAGAAAATCCCAGCTATGACTGCAAAGTAGCTGCCATAAAGCAAAAACTGGGAGGGGGAGAGAAAAAGGCAGAAGAATTAATGAAAAACACAGGGAAATGCTACTTCTGGAGATTACAGACACTATTATTCTGTTTACCTGTGTTCTGGCACAGTTTCTCTATGTTCAAGTTTTTGCTTTGTGATTAAGCAAAATCTTAGCTTTTCCACCAAACAACAAATCTTTGAGGAATGAAGAACTACCCCTTGCTTACAATCCTTATGCCAGGAACCCGATTTTTTTCTATTAGTGCAAGATGTAGAAGTAGCTTCATTACCCACATAGTTATGAATAATGTAAGTGAAGAGTTTGAGTTGGTCCTTTTTTGCTCATACTTGTGCATTTAAGTGCTGTCGCCACACTGGCTTCAGTAAATATACTATGACTTCATATCAATATTTCCAACAACAGCAGTAAGGCTGTTATCGAAGTCCTACATATTCCTGTCCTTAATTTTAAAGTTTTAATTTGTAGTGTTTAATTCAATCTTTAATCTTTTAAAGTAACTTTTGCCTTCTCTGTGTGCAGAATATCTGAACAGCTTTAGTCTTCTTCAAATCCATGGCAGTAGGAAGCTGCCCCAGCCGAGATTCCATCTGAGAAAATGCAGAGGTCAGTACATTTCAGTTGACTCTAACATGAGTGGAATGGGGCTGACTGAAGTTAGGGACGCTGTTGTGAGATAGGATATCTCACCCCAAATTAAATGCTCAAATTATGGGTAGAAAACTATTATTCACATTAAGACACAGACCAGGTTTGCTTCTGAGCTGCAATTAGCAGGCAGCTGTCCTTTTCACTTGAGCTAAAATAAATCCAACTATCTGGGCTGAGTCTCATGGTCTTGAACTCCCCTAACAACATGTGGTCATCTTGATTCTGCATCTTTTGTGCAGAGAGGATGTTATTCAGTATACTATTAATTAGCAAAAGCTGGTGGGATAGCAGGGCCTGATTATTTATGTTCTTGTGTATCAGCTTTTAAAAGTCAAAGACCAGCATCTGTAATCCTACATGCTGCACTAAAGGGCAAAAAAGAAGACCGGTGGCTGACAGAAGGGAAGAGCAAGATTTCTACATTTCTATAGAATAAAGAAAGAATTAAATTTTCCATTGGCATAGCAATTTCTTTCTTGGTAAACTTTTGAAGATGAATTGGCTAAACAGTAAGTAAGTTAATAGCACTTACCTGAATCACTACGTCCAGTCCCAGGCCTCTTGAATCTACAACAACTACTGTAAGAATGGTCTGAATCAACAGTGCAATGAAGTTGTTGAATCCAAACATCAAGGCATAGCGTTCTATGCTCAGGTTGACTGCAATCTGGAACCTAATGTGAGACTGGCAATTCAGTTACTTCACACTGGGCATAAAGCTGTTGTTCCCCATTTAGTTGATAAAAAGAAATGATTCATGCAGAGAATACAACAAGGTCGGGGTAAATAGTGCTTCATTTTCCTGCTTTCTTCCTTGCTTTCTCTAAAAGAATGTCTTGACTACCATAGTGTATTCTGATGGTTTTGTACTTGTCTGTGTTGCTTTTCTAAACCATGATGTCAGGGGATGTCTTTTATCTAGTAGAATATCAGATTTCTTTAACCTTCCCCTTTACTCCTACTGTGCCTTCACAGACTGTGCCAGACAGGTTCTAAAATCTCCATGGTTGGAAGCCTTCAACGACCTGGCCAGACAAAACCATGACCTGATCTGGCATTGGCAGTTCTGCCATGGCTGGGAGGTTACACTAGAAGGTCACTATGGGTATCTTCCAACCAACTTTTCTGTAATGATGTGAATCATTTTTTGCTTTGTGGCATGGCAGTGGGGAGGTAGCATACTGTGCACTTCTGTCAAAGGCCTGTAGATTTTCCTTGAAATATTTACCTCCAAAGATTCTATCTGAACAAAAAGATTGTTATTCCTGCAGTACTCTTCTCATTGATTTTTAGCAGGGGTTCTTTTGTGCAAGCTTTTACCTTTATTTATTTTTTTATTAAAGGATATGTTGAAATAGTCCAGGTGTGATTCACTATAATGTACTAACAGAACACCTAAATAAAAACAGCACATTCACTTGGCTTCATTCAAGATAGGCACAATCTTGTCGTGCATTATAGTTTCACTGATTTTTTTAAAATGGTATCTGAGTAATTTTGGATTTTGACATAAAAATGCTTCTGGTATTTTTGTTAATGAAATAGTGTGGTATGTCTAAAGACATTCCAATCAATAAACTAAATGGAATAATAAAAATATTCGATATTTATTACACATATATTATATATTGTCTTGGTTATTTATATTATTTTTCTATTTCTGACAACAGAATAGCTTGGCCCCCTAATAGGTCTTGTCTGAATTTATATGTCCAATGTTCTCTTTTATTGCTTCTTTACATCATAAAATCATTAAAGATTATATGTATAAAGTTACATTAGGAAATACTCTATGCCACATCTTTTCTTGCATTCATGCAGTTCATAGCATGCTAAAACGTGTATCAGCAAGGTGATCTAGACTTAAGGGGATCTTCAAGGATGGTTGTCAAGGCATGCTTGTCCCTATTGTTCACTTTGCATCTTCCAAGCCAGGAAGGAAGGAAATATCTTACATGTTTTCCCATTACCATTGCCTTTAGTAATAAAGGTAACTTGTACCTTGTTTTATTTCTGACTAAGTAAATGTTCAGTGTCCTTTGATAATTTTTCTTTTATGGTTCTTTAGAAGAACAAAACCAACATAACTAGACATTTAAGTGTCCTTGTCTTTATGTAAACAGTTATGTCTAGCATTAGATCAGCTACCCCTGAGTAAAAGGAGGGATGCCCAAAGTAAACTTCAAGTATGGTTAATATTCTGTGCATAATGGCAGCACTGTAAGGTTTTATACTTACGTTGCAATTGTTATGAGGAGCATATAACATGCTTTGAAAATGAGATAGCTGGTATAACACGCCCAGATGTTGGCAGTGAAGTGCATGAGAAATAGCGAACCAGCATCTATTGCAGAGAAGATCCCTAAAGCCAGTTCTCCAAAAAGGTCCCAGTTAATTTTCATATATTGTACTAAGAAAGATGTTACTGAGCCTAGAAAAAGAGGAAAAAAAACATGTAAATTTTGTATCTGTTCTATACCTTACATCACCAAGTCTTGCCACCCTCACATGCCAAAAGACAACGCTGAATAGTGAAGCAGAGTAGTTCTGAAGTGTTTTGAAAGCATTTCTAATCACTTCTGAAGTTGTGCAGGTGACTGGTCATTTTAGATGGCTGCATATAAAGCAAGTCTCTGTCATTCCATTCTTAATGTTTTATTCCACTTCACCAGATAACAAATCCTTCTACATAACAGTTTATTTGGCTGTCTGTACCCAGCATGTATCGCTAGGGAGAGAACATGGTTTAGAGCTCAAGAACAATTCTACTAGCTTACTTTATAACTAAGCCAGTAAACTTTCTAGCCCAACAGCTTAGCTCTGTGCAGCTTGTAAAGGGGATAAGCTGTCAAAAAAGGGAGTTTTGTGAGGTATCAAGGGTGAATACGTACAGGGAAATGAGAAAGGATAGGCACTGTTTGCTTTTGGTGGGCCTGCTACAAAGACGCATCAGTTGTGAAGGTAAGCCATCCATAGAGGTCTCATACAATTTTAAAACTTCTATGCATCTCCATTAAAAAATAGGCAATTCCTTGAGAAAGAGGAATTCATTAAGGTGTATACATTACAGGATTTAAGGGCTCCTAATTCATAATTCACTTGGTCTGTTTAGTTGCCTACCTTACGATGAGAGTAATTTTTAATCTTAGAATCTCCTCAATGGCTGTAGAGGTAACCTGAAAGACCAGGTATGATGTAGACATGTTTATTTTCCCTGATGGATCACACCCCAATGCCTTGTGCAAGTTCTTTATAGCAGCACAATATGAATATGTGAAACACTGTCAAGTCAAGGTGGTATCCTCTGATGTTACCTTTCTGTAGCATTACTTTGCTCGTGTGGTGTTGGCATCTGCTTCCAGTGCAAAAGTGTAATAGTTAACATTTGCACTGTAATGAATTCAATATGGTCATCATCTGCAAATTTCTGTGTCATGGAATGACTAAAATTCTTCTTTCTGTCCTGCTACACTAGGTCTTGAATGCACATTGCATACAGTGGCTTCCCGAAGTGTCTGCAATGTAATGGCAGTTTAAAAGTGTTCTGCAGTAAAACTTTAGAGAATGATTTTGTGATTTACAGTTTAGACATTAACTTACTCAGAAAAGTTGCTATGGCTTCAACAGCTCCATTGTACACTGCAGAGCTGTGGGAGGGGGCTCTGAAGTCCCACAGCACTTGGACATAATTCAGAACCTGGTTAAAGCCTGCCGTAGCCAGAGCCCACCACAGGGACCAGTACAGAAGTTTCCTAGAGCTGTAGCAATCCCTCAGGTCCTTGCTCAGCTGCACCAGGACTCTCAGCATGTGATTCTGGGCCTTGGGACTATCAGCCTGCTGCTCGGGTGGCGGTGCCCTGTCAGCACATACAGAGCTCTTGTCCTCTCGGCAGCTCGGTGGCCTGTCAGAGCTGACCCTAGCCACAACTTTATCGGGTCCCGGGAGAGATTCTGAGCCGTCTTTCCTGTGGAAGAACATACTCTTCTGGGGCATTGGGAGGAAAAAGGAGCACACGAATGCCAGGGACACGGAAGCCAAAGTGATGGCGTTAAGGTGAAAGTAGGATACGCCTGCTAAGGAAACCAGCAGCTGCCCCAGCACCGCCGCAACGGTGGCTGCAACAAGAGTGATACTTCTGCAATAGCTCGTCACTCTCTGATAGCGATCGGTGCTGACAACGCTGTAGATGTAGGCGTAATAGGCGACCTCGGTGGCTGTCACCATCCCGTAGAAGAATTCCACCACCTGCATGGCCACCACTCCGTGTGCAAAGAGGAGCAAGAGCCACGTGATGATGAAGCTGATGCCCTGGAGGAGGAGGACGGGCTTGTAGCGCACGTAGTCTGTAATCAGGAAGACTGGGAAAAGGAGCGCGAGGTAGGAGTATGTCCAGACCGGGAAAATCTGGTTGGTAACCTAGAAGAGAAGAGAAAAATCTCTATGTTGTTACTCTTTGGGAAAGGAAGGTCATTTATTTTAAATGACTTTGTAGAGGGAGGATTTTCCCCTGAAGGAATTCATGAAATACATAACCTCGCTGAAGCGGCATGTGACTGTTGAGCAGGCAAATGGATATTAAATCCATTAAATCGATCTTTTATTTATGCCATCTGCTGCAAATTGTAACCTGCCAAAGCTCGTTACAGTTGTGCATTTTTTTTGGTTTTTATATTTGTTTAAAAACTTTAAACAAAATTTTACTTTTTTATTTTTGATGCCCCATACAAATGAAAAGGCAGAGTAAAACTGTACCTCATCTGTGGTCAGGTTTTTATCTGGTCCGGTTAAATAGGGAGTTAGGAAAGGTTCTGATGGTTTCATCATGTAGAGGAATCCATAGAGGCAGAGGATCAGGGTGGGAAAAGTCCAGGTGTTGCTCTTCTCTTGCTTCCAGCAGCCCATGGCCTCTGCAGCAAAGCTGAGGAGAAAGTCTGTTGGAAGGATGATACTGCCCACACAAGCACAAAGATGTCTTGTAATTGATTTTTATTTTGTGGTTTCTAATGCTAAGGAGTGCTCTTCAGAGGCTGGCAGTTGGAAAACATTTTTCTTCATAACTTTAAAGTGAACAGCTTTTCCTTACATTTGTCTACTCTGTCTTTGTAGATAATGTATGAAGAATGACTTGGAATATCTTTCACTGGGAGACAAATTACACTGTCATTCAATCTGCACTGACCAAGCTAACTGCAGGAAAAGCCTTTCTAGACAAAAGTCGCTGAAGAGAGCTGAGCACAGAGATTTCACTTGACACCATGACTGATCACAGCCAAGAATTTTGTTGAATGACAACTAGTTCACAATTGCTGCTTTTTTCTCCCTCGCCTCCTTAGATGTACATGGCCTTTCTGTTATGGAAAGCTGGTAACTCTGGAGCCTAGCAGATGAGACTTGCTAATAAATGCAGAAAGGATGTCAAGCCAGATCATCACCTGGAATGAACTGCATCTGAAGTCCAGTTTGGATACAGACATCCTATTTTCAATCTATATAAAACATTTGTGGTCACTGAAGGCAATAGTTCACACTAAAATGAAACAAAGGAGATATTTTTGCTCTTGTCTCTAGTTCAGAGTTATGGAATAAATTAAACTTTGCAAGTCTGCTGGACAGAGCCCAAAGAGAAGTCAAAATGTGTGTAATGAGTGGCACACAAAGGAACAGACAGTAGGTTATACTCCATATTCATGTTGGTATAGGGAATGTCGGGAATCTAAACCTGTATAATTTATGTCTTGTTACCAGCTGGGATTTCCATCATTCTGGTTTTGACTACCTGTTTACCTTCTGAGAACTCTTTCTTTTTCAGGTGAAAAACTTTATCTTAATGTATTTTGCAGGGAGTGTTCTTCCTAAAACTTTTTTATAAGGCTGAAGAAAGTTCTCTTCCAAAACAGCCAAAAATGTTCATGTACCTGTTGGATACATTGTTCCAGACTGGGTAGGCAGAGGATCCTCCTATAAGGTGTGATATATAACGTATAAGGCAGCAGGCGTTATGCATCTTCTTTTCTAACTTCATACCAGGATAGCACATTTTACTAATGGCCTGATGCACTAAAACATGGGTGCAGATCAAAGGGAATTTGAAGTATTTCATTTTATGCATAATGGCTGAAACCCTTGACGTTACAGGATTTACAGCAGAAATGCATTTGGCTCTCTCAGCTCTGCGGTGCGAGCCACTAGAGGGCAAGATGACCCCAGCAAAGGAAAAATGTGTATGGGAGGAATGTGAAGCACATTCAGAATGCTCAAGGAAAGAAGCAATTCTGTCCCTCCTCCCTCCCCAGTTGTTGTAATAGCTTCTGCTGTAGACTTGGCTTTGGTAGGACCAGTTTTGGCCCTGCCCAGGATCACACTCAGTCACCATAATACCCCCTCGCTCTCCTTTCACCTGGTAATCATTAAAGTGTTTACAGCACCCTAATGCCCTGTGAATGCCTCCTGTGGTACCGAAAGGTTCTGAGAAAGGCATCAAGAGCAGCAGGGATGAAGAGCATCTACAGGACTGGTATGAAAAACACTTGTTGAAGTTAGCTCTGTGTCTTAGCCAGGTTATCTTTTTCCCTTCCCAGCCTAGATTCTGTGCTCCGGTCTGTTTCAGGTCTTGCCATGTTGGCTCTCTCTGCAGCAGGTTGCATGACACAAAGACAGCAGGGTTCGTGGATTCTTTCAAAATGCCCCACACCTTGGGAGGTGAGTGGGGCAAACTGCTGTATTCCCAGGGCTCGCAGGGCACCGTGTGCTGCACCTCTGATGCTGTCCGTCTGTGGCAGCGCTGTGCCATCGTGTGCGGTAATTTCTGTTTTGAGCTACCTACAGAAAAACTTTAGGCGTGCCATGGTCACTTCATCGCTCCAGTGCCAGCACATGCACTGTTTGGGGTTTTCTGCTAGACATGTACCTCTGTTCTGTAGATTTACTCATTGAGGCACCTGTGTTAGGCTGGCAGGTAAGTCAGATGAAAAGTTTCCCACCTGATTTAAGCAGCTGTGCAGGAAAAAACCTGCCTCTGGTGCTGAGCCGGGAAAGGCAGCGGGCTGAGGGCTTTCAGGGGCAGCCGCTCTGCCCTTGGGGAGTGGGAGGTGGGCCCCGCTCCGGCAGCAGTGGGGTGAGTGCCCACCTTGCACCCCAGCCTTTTGCTGTCGGCGAAGGGCTCTGCTGCAGCCCCTGCTCAGCTCTGCCGGCTGCTGGTGTAATTGCTCCTTTCTGCATTCACAACCATAAACCTCTGACAAGAAGCACCTTGGTGCTTAAGGGGGAGGGATCCAACTCATTCCCACTCAGTCACCCCTTATGGTCAATTTGTCTTCTATAAATCTAGGTTTTCCTTAATGTTTGGAGAGATGGTGGGATGCCTTTGTGTTGTTCTGCAGCAGAACAACCCTCTGTTTCTCATTTCCCCCATAAGTTCTTGGTTAGTGCTGTAGCTGTCAGGTCTTCTCCCACACAGCTGGATGCAGCCCCCCAATTCCCCACCAGGCTACTCTCTTTTTTCCTCCCTCTTTCCCTTGTCACTGCAAAATTTCTGATTTCTGAAGTTCATATATAATCATACCTTGTCTCCTGGAGCTGTTCCTTTCTTACTTCCAAGGGAAAGGTCCCCTCTGAGTATTTCCAATCTTTCTTCTGGCCATCCTGTGTGTATTGCAACTGCTGGACTCTATTTGATTTTTGTGCTTTTCCTGTTCTTCCGGTATTTCAGCATGCTCTGATGACATCTCCTTTAAAAACATCTCCAGCTGACTTTCAGCACCCTTAAAGGAACAGCCAGGTAATCCTGTCCTGTCCTTGTCCACAGGCAGCAGGAAATCAAGACCCAAACTAAGGTTTGGTGCTTGACTGGCACAAAAGCAATAGACATAATACTGTTCCCAAAGAATTTTGCATCTATTTGACAGGGTACATGGCTTGGGAGCCACCTGTGCCTCAAATTGGTCTATATTAAAGATGGAGCAGTAGCTACGCATGGCTAATAACAGAGATGAGGGAGAACAAATGCCAGTGTCATAAGCTTTAAATGTTTTCCCACTAAATACATGGGGTTTCATACTATTCTAGCAGATTTAAAAAATAAACCACACTGTTTCCTCTTGACTGTTGTTTGTTAGCAAATTTCTCAAATCTTTTGCTTAGGCAGGTTCTTGCAGTCCTACTGAAGATTGAGATGGTCCTATAGTCATCTTCAGAAGATCCCGTGGGACTCGTAACAGCAAAGAATACTATCTGAAATGTACAGATTTGCACAAAATATATGTACCTACATACCTAGATCCACTCTCATCCTCATCCTACAAGATATAGGTCTGGAATGAGGGATAAAATAATTACTTAGGAATGCAACCAATACATTAGGAAAATAATAAATTTGTAAGTGATAGTGAATTATCCAATAATTTAATCTTCTTAGCTCATACACAGTAAAATAGTTCAGTAACTTTAGGGAGATACACTTGAATACAAAAAACATATGAAATTCCCTGCTGGGTCAGATGAGTTGCCCAGCTAGGCCAGTCCTTTGCTTTCAGCCTTGGCCACATTTTGCAGCCGTTTTGCCTCCTATTCCTCAGCAAAGTAACAGGATTAGTGATGTTAGAGGGGCCATCCCTGCCTATTGCCTTTATCATTAGTTTGTTGACCTGTTGTCCATGAATCCATCTAATCCTGCCCAGATCACTGCTGAATACTTCCGTGAGCTTTTGTGATGTATGTGAAACTAATGCATGAAAGGGATGTAGTAATTCCTTTTGGAGCTTTCCCAGCCATCAGTCACTGTCTGACACTGATTCTGGAGCTATTTTGGTTCTGCATGTTTAACTGAACCTGTAGCTATAGGAGGTGACAGCCCATCTGAAAGGAGGCTGTGTATACCCACCTTTGATTTTACTCTCAAGGGCTCTTGCTAAAATGCAGAGAATTTCTACTGAAATGAATAGCGTTACTATGAGTTTGCGCTGAACTACTGAGGCAAGAATCCAACTCAAATTTCTCGACACTGAAAAAAAACCCCAAATTGTGTTTTTCTGGTAATGTAATAATGAGAAAGGATGATTTAAGTAACTTCCAGTGATTGATGTTTGTTCTTTTCCGCTTTCTGGTCCTTTTTTATCCCCTATTAGCTGTTCTTTCCGTACTCTTTAGTCCATCTCATTTGTACTTAAATTTTCATCCTTTTTCACTGATTGACATCTGAATGCTAAATGCAAGACAGTAAAACTATGATGGGCTTATGCAAGATTTGGGTCAACTTGATCCCTATGTCATAAACTGTCTGCAGCAGAGTTTGGTTGCTGGGTTTGAAGGGGACCATGCTCTTTACACTGAGTTTGAATGTAGTCTGGTCAGAAGCAAAAGTGTTCTTCTTGGAGGGTGGGCTGGGAGATCTGTTTATAGCTGGCATGCCAGTTTTGTTCAGCTGTGAAAGGGAAGACTCTGTATGACCTGGAGAAAAGGTGAGTTTTATAGTAGTAGTGTATCCTAAAGAGTTAATGTAATATGGTCTCTAATGTATCGAGGACACAGGAAAATTCTGAGGTGAGAAGAGGAGGGAAAGGCAGAAAGAGAACAGACTGCAAACCTGTCACCCTGGTACCTTCTCCTGCCCTTGCTGCCCCTTGGGCTGGATCCTGGTATTCTCTCTGTTGCTTCACAGGGGGCACCAAGGCTGAGAGTCTCACCTCAGCTGTATGAGGTACGTTTCTCTCTCTCAAACTGTCTGGTTGGGTGCTGATATAGACACTGTCTCTCAGCTCCCAGATCACATCTGTGTCTTGACACCTGCTTAACTCAGAAGAACAGACTTTGTAAATCAAACTGAAGTCTTATACTTTTTGAAGAATGTGTACAATACTCCCTTAAAGAAAGAGTGATAAGAAAGAAAATTTACTATGGCTAATACTGAAGATTTTTCTCAATTGGTGGTCACATACAGCCCACACACAGAAAGGTTGCAATGGCAGTTATAAAGATTAAACTACCTTTTTTGTTGGATTCCTCAGACCCAGGAGTACTCACAGGGCAAGTTCACTTTCTGATTGATGAATGAGTAAATCTTTATCTTTCCTCATGCACTACATGTCCATTTTGGGAACGAGACTGCAGTCTGAGCCTGAACCCTGTGGTATGTGGGTAAGGGTTTCCATAATTTGTCTCTCAGCTGAATCTCACACAGGGTTTCCAAGACAGGCAGACCTTCACATGCTGGGCTACAATGCTTTTTGACTGAGACACTTAAATGCTTATGCAAAGTCTAGTTTAGAATATTTAGCTAAAAAGTATTAAGTACATTTCTCCAAGAGGTGAGTTAGAGAATATGTTCAACCAAACTAAAGTTTCAGGCACTTAGTTTAAATGTAGACTTACAAGTGCTTCCTTACTAAAAATTAATGATGTAAGGTTATTTTTCACTACACTGCTTCTTACATAAGGCTAATGCTCTTCCTTTTTCTGGTCACTTCTTATTCATGTCACTAGAGTGTGCATTGCCATTTGAACCATGCAGGGTAGTGGCTGCTGGTAGCAGTGCAGGATCTGGAACTAACAGTTGTGTCATTAATCATCACTCTGGAACATTCGGGTGGGTGCGGTGGGGGGGATAATTGTTTTTTCTTACAGGCAACATTTCTGTGGTGGCACACTTGTATGTTTGTGTCAGTTAAGTCTGGAGCTCTTGCTATAATGTGCTACCAACATAGCATGGAGCATGTAGAGGTTTTGTGATGAGTTTCTAAAGACCGGTTGAACTTATTTTTCTTGCAGACCCATGTTTTATATCCCTTTTTGTACACTGCTACCCTTGGGCCAGCACTGGGCCGAACAGAGTGCTTTACCCTCTTAATCTCCTGTTACTTGCCAGGGAAAGTTAAGTTAAATATTTTAGCTTTCTGCAATATAAGTCACTGGTTGGATTTCCTCCTCTTTTGGTTACAGTTTCATTGTTGAATTAAGTGTAGGTGGCTGGTCAATGCCTCCATAGTTGCAAGAGGCTGGGGAAGTAGCATCCAATTTATACTGGGTGTCCCCCTTGGGAGCACTGCCAAGACTTTACAGGGATGTATGGCATCCTTATTTGCATCACAGTGACCTGCATTGCAGCTCTACAATTTGCTCCATGTTTCTTGTGAAAACCTGTCAGAGACTTTGGTAGGTTTCCAAATAAAGGTGTTTCACATTGTCTGAGGACTAGGTTTGTTAGTTGAGCAAGATTCCGCTTTTACTTTCTTGCTCTAATTGGCATAAAACCCACTCTGCTCTCTCAGCTGAGGGCTGAAAAGCAGTGTGGACTAGAGGAGCCACAGAGCCAATCCAGAAAACAGCCCAGCATGTGAAGGTATCTGCTGATACTGTTCTGCTACACAATTCATTGCTCAAACTTGAAGCTGTTTGTGGGCTTTGCGGTACCTTCCCCCTTGATTTATAGGTCTGAGAATGATGGAAAAATAAATTTTAACATTTTCAACCTTGTTTTTTATGGTTCAAAGCTACTTTTGAACAACAAAAAAAAAAAAGCAAGCAGTTAAGTTGAATACATGATAAAAGTTTCAGGCTTGAGCAGAAAAATTATATCTTATATGTGGTCTCCCTCTTGGCATCAGGATATATTTTAGCTCTAACAGCCAAGTTTATTTCTGTTGCAATTGTACCAATAGTAGTATACTGTCTTGAAACTTTTAAAACCAAGAACTGAAATCCAAAAATAGTGTGATCCAAAGTTTATTGGAAGTTGGAGAAAGTCTTCCTGTTGCATTCAGTGAATCATAGAGCAGCGCAGAAAGGCTTACAGAAGAATAGGCTATACCTTAAGAAATTCCTTACATTTTCCTTCCAGATCATTAGCAAATGACAGGAACTACTAGTCAGGGGGATTTTCTGTGGTTTTTCCTTTTATTTAAAATTTTATGTGGTGGTTGCTGTAGGTCAGCTGCTGACTTCTGTGCAAGTCCTGGCTGTGGGTGAGTGTAGTGGTCTCTGGTTTCCCTCTGCCCCACACACAGTATGTCTGTCAGCTCTTCTAATGGCATAGAAGCCATCAGTGTTTAAAGGAAGAATGGCAGTTTGGTATTTCTGGATGAAGTGGAGGATAAATGATCCCAGTGAGAATGAAGTGGTTGAATTTTTGTTGTGATAGCAAAGCTATCTTTCACCATCACTTTAAGACTGTCAATGTGGTTCACAAGTTGGCTTTGAGTTCTTCATTTCTGCAAACTGTGGTTGAGAGAAACACGTCTATTTTCTGTGGCTAATAAGAACATTTTGCTTAATACTTCCTTGATATGAGCTACAGGTTACATGTAAGAATGAAACAATCACTTTCATAAAGTACCAAATGCTCTAAATGTTGTGGCCTGTTTTCTCATCAGTGCCAACCACAGCTCACTCCCATGAGAGCTATGAGCTCCACATGATCAATGAGCCAGCCAAGGTCCACAAAGCAAGTACTCTCTTGATATAAAGCTTGTGCCACTCTTGCTAATTTTTTTGGTAGAGATGGAAAACCCCATCTTTTTAATTCAGTGCAATCATTGTTCAACACAAAAATGTAACAAAAAAATGAGTAAAAATCATGCTTTTAGTTGCTGAGGAAGGGAATAAAAAAATTTACTAAACTTCACCTTCAGAATTTGGAGGGCTCTCCAGTCATAGATGGATGCGTGTAGCATGCAT